CAGAGTTGACTTTCAACACTTGTGTACAATATGTAATGATCAAAAAAGGATAATTAGCATTTTCACCATTACAAAACATAATCATTTTTTGTGTCCATTAACTAATTTCTCACTACACTTTCAGAATTTCTGACAGGTTCTTTTTATAGTTTCTATCTCTACTGATATTCTCATTTTATTCGTGCATCGATTTTAACAAACTGGCTTCATTCAGGAGAAGACTTTCAATAATCAGTACAGCTAGGTTTGGGGGCCTCTAAATCCTTTTGGGGGGGATATGACTTTTCTGGGCTTGTGCTTGTGATTTCCTAATTAGAGCAGTTTGCCTTTTTTTTTTCCCCCCCAGGAGCTCATAATCTCTTATTCCCTCTAGTGTCTGTCTGTGCTATTGCAAGTTTTCTGGTACTACGCAGCAAGCCTTCTGCCTGCTCTTCTTTGTGCTCAGTAGCCCCAAGGCATTCAATTATGCAGGCTCCATGTCAGTTCCCCAAATCAGGGAAAACAAATACCTGTCCCTTGGGCAGCTCTTCAAAAAGGTGGGCTGGCAAACTCATGCTCTACTCTTCTCCCTCCCTCCCAAGGGAGGAGTCACAGTTGGGAGCCTTCTCTCATTCATGCTGAGTGTGCCAGCCTTTGTCTATAGCATTGTGGGCCCTCTGGTGCTGCAGAAAGCCACCCTCCTCCCCTTGCTTTCATTGGTCCCCAGGCATCCAAACTATCCCAGTTCCATTAGCATTCCAAGTTAGGTAAGAAAGGAACTAGTCTTAGGCCAGCCCGTGGCTCACTTGGGAGAGTGCGGTGCTGATAACACCAAGGCCACGTGTTCGGATCCTATATAGGGATGGCCGGTTTGCTCACTGGCTGATCGTGGGGCTGGCAATACCAAGCCAAGGGTTGAGATCCCGTTACCGGTCATCTTTTAAATAAAAAAAAAAAAAAAAAAAAAAAAAAAAAAAAAAAAAAAAAAAAAAAAAAAAAAAAAAAAAAAAAAAAAAAAAAAAAAGGAACTAGTCTTTGGACAACCCTCTGAAAAGCCAGAATATTGGATACCTGTTCCACTCTTCATTTTCCTCCAAGGGAGGATCTGTGATCCAAGCTGAGTTGTGCTGGCTTGGGGGAGGACCAATCATGGGTAAAGTGAAATGGCTCTTCTTACTCGTTTCAATGTAGTTCTTCTTGGCTTTGTGCTTCCTGGTGTAGTGGATTGAATTATGTCCCTCCAAAACTCACTGAAGCCTGAGTTGTGTCCCTCAAGTTTTATTTATTAGAAACTTAGCCCCCACTGTGACTATTAAAAGGGTGGGAAATCCTATTATGGTAATTGAAAGGTGGAGCCTTGAAGAGATGATTGGATTATAGGATCGTGTAGTGAATGGATTAATAATGGTCGTCAGGCTTGTGATTCTGAGGGCCTTAAGAAAGAGGAAAGTTTGTCTCTCTCTGCTCCCTCTGCTTCCACCATCTTGCAATGTGAGACCCCTGGGTCACTGTCACCACCACCTGATGTGCTCCTTGGACTTTGGACTTACCAGCCTCAGACTCTGTAAGCAATAAATTTTGTTTTCTTTATAAATCACCCAGTACCATGTATTTTGTTACAAACAACAGAAATGGACTATTACTCCTGGGATATTGAAACTTCTTAGTTGGTTTCTAGAGTTCTCATAAAGGTATTTTGGTCTGCAGATTGTCATTAAGTTAGTGACTCTGGGGAAATGTGGGCTGGGACTTCCTATTGCACCATCTTACTGACATCACTATCTCATCTCTTTCTTATAATGTGATATTTCATTTACTCTAAAATATCACCAATTGTAAGACACATTCCAATTTTGGAGATGTTAAAATGTGTAGAGGGGAAAAAAAGATCTATGGCAGTAGTATGACACAATCTATAGTAAGATGCACCATGGTCTTGTTATGGCAATCCAGGAGGGAAGGAATAAAGGCAAAGATGGGAGGAGGGAGGAGAGAGGAGAGGTAGCTAGTGACACAATGGGATGTGACCTCTCCCCAAGATTACCAATCTCTGAAAGGGATTCCAAGCTTACAAAATGCTATGTGACAGAATTTCTTGGGGAAGCTGAAGGTGCTGAGTTCTGTGATAGGGATAATGTAGACAAAAGAGAAAAGGCTTATATAAATCACAGGAATCTCAGGCAAGAACAAACCATGAGGTCACAAATCCCAGGAGTCTGCAGAAATTTTGTGGAGGATTTGGGTTTTCCCATTCTGTGGAATTGTCAGGGCTGTGAGGCATTCATACAAAGCTCTCTGTGGACTAGGACAGCCCCAGCTGGCACCAGGCTACAAAAATAGCATGTTCCCAAATCACTTGACCCCCTTTAGTTCCTCCTCCACGCTAGCCTGAGTGTTCTTCCCAAAGGGTGAACGTGATCATGCTATTCCTCTGCTTTAAAATTCTCTGTTGTCCACAATCTAAAATTTCTTAGCCTGGTATCCAACACACTTCACAATCTGGCCCATGTATCCTCACACAGTAACTACATAAACATTGTACTGTTCCCTGAAACACTAAGCCTTCCCTTCCATCTGAAATAGGCTTCCCCTTTCCCTTACCTAGTAAACACCTACTCATTCTTCAAGCCCAAATTCAATCATCCTCTCTGCTCCCTCCTTCCCTCTGAAGAGTTAGCCATTCCCACCCGTGTTCACCCGGCACTTTGTTCACAGGAGTTTCTCTTCCTCTTAGTACCTTGCAAGAAGGACTATGTCTTATTCACTTGTGGGCCCCAATGTCCAGTACGAGCCAGGTTAATGACCTCCCCTGGGCTCCTACAGCACCCTGGGTACAAATGTAATGAAACCTATCATCCTGCATTGTAATTCTGGGATTATGTGCCAATCTCCTGCACTAGAGAACACAGCAGCCACATTGTCTTCAATACCAGTATTCCTACTTACTAGGAAAAGGAAGGAGAGCCGGCCCATGGCTCACATGGGAGAGTGCGGTGCTGATAACACAAGGCCATGGTTTCGGATCCCTATATAGGGATGGCCGGTTAGCTCACTTGGCAGAGCGTGGTGCTGACAACACCAAGTCAAGGGTTAAGATCCCCTTACTGGTCATCTTTAAAAAAAAAAAAAAAAACTAGGAAAAGGAGGGGAAGGAGGAAAAAAGGGGAAAGAAAGGACAAAGGGAAGGAGGGAGAAAGGAAGAAAGAGAAAGATGAAGGAGAAAATAAAGGAAGTTAACCAAAAAAAAGTCAGAGTGGATAGACAAGTTGGGATTTGAAAGCATGGACTTACACAGAAAACACAGCATTAACTAGGTCAACAAAGAACAAATAAGATTGGCCAGGGGTTCATGTCCCAAGATCAAAGCAGGTGCCTAGTACATCCGTCCTGGACCTGACTAGCAGCAGAGAATCCCACAGTCACTGCAGTTGTCACTAAGCCTCCAGGTCTGGAAGGATAATCATACCAAGCTTTCCAGGCTGAGAGGGGACCAGTAGACCTAGCTTGAGAGTGGATATAATGAAGAGTCTGGCCTTGGGATCAGACATACCTGATTTAAATCCTAGCTCTGCCAATAGGTCAGATCATTTAACCTCATAGAATTTTCTTATTTTGAAAATGGGGACACTGCTACCTTAGTATGGATAGTATTGAGATCAGAGATAATAGCCGTACAATAACTGGCACTCAATAGGTGTTTGATAGATGGCAACTTTTATACTGGGGTATGTGCCAATTCACATGTGCAAGTTTGGGTTACTATGCTTAAAATATTTTGTGTGGACGTTTTCAAGAAGCAGGAAAATGTGTGTGAAATAAAAGTGCTTTGTAAACTGTAAAGCGACCCACAAATGTAAGGGGATCATTTGAGAAGTCTTTTATAGCTGGGAAATATACAGGCTTTAGATTTGGGTAGAAGTATGTTCAGTTCCTGGCCTTGCCATTTACTTGCTCTGTAACCTGAGCAAGTCACTTTCTCTTGTCAGTCTGTTTCCACGTATGACAAATGCAGATAATTCTACTTCATAGGGTTGTTATGAGAATTAATGAGTGTAAATTTCCTGGCATTTCCCTTTCTAGGCAGGCGGCAGGGTCCCTATCTGATAGGTCAGGTGATGGGTAGGGTCAGTTCCAAGTGTTGTGCCAGAATCACATTCTGCCAACTGACTACAAAAGAAGACGGCCCCTAACTCTAGAAGAGTAGGGCCCCAGATTGGTAAGAGAGGTAGAGAGGAATCTTTTGTATTTGTTAGAGGAAAGCTGGGTGAACACTAAACTTCCATATAAGAAACATTGTAATCTGCCATGTGGAGCCAGGCCTAAACAAGAGGACAGGAAGCCAGCCATGATCCCTGCCAAGCTGTCCCAGCCTTGGGAACTAAACCATTGCTACTAAAGGCAAAGATTCTCATTATGGATTTTAAGATTTCTCTTATCTTATCCCACCCTTCAGCCCCTACTCCCTGCCACTGCCATTGTACCTAGGCACAGAAAAACCAATCAGTAATCTAAAGTTGAAAAAATTCTCATGCTTGGTGCTGATTTCCCACAGAGCAAATGGCCCAGGGCCATATCAAGAGGCCATACTGGCTCCCGTGTCCAGACCAGCCTCCTAAGCAGCTTCTCCTGCAGAAGCCAACAGGGGACCGTAGTGAAAAGAGCATCAGCTCAGAGTCAGGGAAGCCCAAGTTTGAACTCTGGCTCTACCATATATCTGCTGTGTGACCTCACAGCAAGTGACTGCACCTTTTCTCACTTCTTACTTCTGTTTCCTCATTTTATTTCCTTGATGGTTGCCATGACAACTAAGTGTAATAAAGAATGTAAATGTGACCGATAAAATCAATAGCGTGCAGTGGATCCTCAATTAACGTTAGTTCCTTTCCTTTCCCCCTCCTCCTCAAAGGCTCCAGAGACTCAGCTGGCTTTCCTTTGCTTTTCAGAGCAGCCACCCATCTGTCTTTCTTGGAATTCAACTCCCTTCCAGAGTTCCCCATTTCCCCAAATAAATACACAGGTCCTTTTCATTGAAGGGTTTTACTGCTAATCACTCTGGGGAAAACAGAGAAAGGTCGGGGTGCAGATAACAAGAAACAAACATGAGGGAGTGTGAAGGTCCCTGGATCATGGCACCCTGAGGGATTCCTTTTCATTCCTTAGAGCAAACCTCAGATCTCTTCTCCAGACCAAGGAGGCCCCTTCCATTGGGAAGGCTGGTCCTCCCAGCCCAGAGATCTAGAAGCAAAGTTGGGGCACAGCAGGTGGGAACTAGCAGGCCACTGCAGTGCAACTTACACAGTTCAGAGACAATGCGGAGAACCTACAGACAGTGATACCTATCACAGGTACTCCCTCAAAGGCCAGGGGACTGCTACCCTAATGACATGAGCATGTTCTGAGCCTACCCTACTTCTCTTTCACCCCAAGGAGGTGAACCAAGACTGGGTCCTCTGACTTTCCACGTCAAGAAATTGGCCTGGTAATAAGCAAGGATTTTTACTCAGAGTCCCTTCTCAGGACTTCCTTAAGTTCCTGGCTTCAGAGGCAATAGGAAACCATTCTCCAAAGTGGGATGAAAGGCTTGAGGTCAAGGTGGCAGCAGCAGATCCTAAAGATCTTCCTCCACTAGGTTGGGATCACTCACTCTCTCTCCCTTGCTCTCTAAATAGAGCTCTTCTTCAGCTGGAATCTTTCCCAGCCTGCTCACCCAAGTGTGTTTTCTGGTGGCGGATGAGATTTGAGCTTCGGGAGAAATGTTTCCCACACAGAGTGCACCGGTAGGGTTTCTCCCCTCTGTGGGTCCTCTGGTGTGCTCCAAAGTTGGAGATATCACTGAAGGTCCGCCCACATTCGGCGCACTCATAAGGCCTCTCACCTGTGTGGGTGCGGTGGTGCACGCCAAAGCTGGAGCTGTTACTGAAGCTCTTCCCGCACTCACAGCAGATGTAGGGTGCTGGCTCCAGGTGGGTGCGATGATGCACAGCCAGCGTGGCACTCTGGCTGAAGCTCTTGCCACAGATGTCACAGCGGTAAGGCCGCTTGCCCAGGTGATCTTGCTGGTGCGTAGTGAGGTCTGAGCGCCGCCGAAAACTCTCCTGACATTTGGGACATTTGTAGTGCTTCTCTTCCAGGTGGATCCGTTCATGCCGGATGCGGTTAGAACTTCTAGAGAAGCTCTTGCCACATTCAGAACACTTGTAAGGCTTCTCGCCTGTGTGGATCCGCTGGTGGGTTCTCAGGTTGGAGGTGTTATTGAAAGTCTTGCCACACTGGGCACATATAAAGGGCTTCTCCTCTGCCTCTGGCCTTGGATGAGCAATGGGGTCCCCCGGCTCTTCAGCTGGGGCAGTGACTTTCTGCCATGGCTTTTTTGGATGGGTTTCTTGTGGCCCCTCCAACAGGCTCTCCTGCCCAGGCTCCTTCTCCCCAGGTGGGATCCGAGAACCCTCTGAGTCATCCACTCTCCAAGGCTTACCCCCTTCCCCTTCCTCAGGCACGTGTGGTTCTGGACTCTGCTCCTCCTCACTGCCCATCTCTGAACCCTGAGAATGAACACAAACGGCCAACACCTTTATTCCTTGGGTCAGGCCAGACCACAGGGAATGTTTTGTTCTGGTTGAAGGGGTGTACACCTTCCTCTGCAACCATCCGTCAGAATAACCTCAATTAACTGGAATACTTGGATAGAATGCCTTTACTTAACTAACTTTCCAGTGACAAACTTTCACGGATATATAAAGCTACCCACCAGAGTAAACAGAAGGCACCAGCTTTGTCTACCACTAACAGATGATATTTGTGCAATCTGTGTAATGTCACTCTTCTTAATGCCACTAAACTGTGACAATCTAGACTATCATTCATGTGCAAGTAATGGAGCTTCCATTTGGGGATGAGTTCAATTTTCCTGCATAACTGTAACTTAACTGAAATTCCTTGTATACTTAATCTTTTTTGAAAAATCTTCCTTAAGAGTATCCACCTATTTGCCTTCTTCCAAAATGAACAGAACCTCTAATTCTTAAGGCTCTCCTAGTTGTTCATAAGGCGCAGTTTTTAATCCTCTTAAGTGTTCTGCCACCCCACCTCTCCCTCCAGACCTCACCATATAATCTAGCAACTAAAGGTTAACATCTAGGACCTCCAAGACCTACTGCAGGGCCTGGGCTGTGTCTGTTCTGATTGGCTAGCACCCACTTCCACCACACTCTCAGACACCACACAAAGCTACATACAAAGCCACACATACACACACTCACACCACACACAGCCACATTATCACATGACACGCACCATACTCACACACCACAAACACACTCAGCCACACTCTCATACCACACATGCACACCAGTCTCACACACACAGCCATACATACACCACATGGTCATACACGCACACACATCACACACAGTCACATGCACACAGCCACACACACATGTGCATATAGCCACATACAAGGCTACACACTCACACACCACACAGAGCCACACACACACTGCAACACACTCACATACCACAAACACACGAGGATACACACAGACACAGATACACAAACCACATTCCATCCCCCAACACACACACATAGCTGAACACATACAGTGTTTAGCCCCCCAGCACAGGGCCTGCTTATGCAAACATCAGTAAATGCTAGCTAAGCTGCATAGATTCCTTTGAGTTCCTACAGCCAAGGACAGAGGAGGGGAAGAAAAAAGAAGTACTTCTGTAGGATGAGAGTGGTGGTGTTTCCTCTGGGCCTTGAAGAAACAATAACATTTCAAAAGGCAGAGTGCGCTGGTGCTGACGCTGTCCAGAGTGACATGAACAAAGGGATGAGGGAGGGAAACACAAACTATGATAGGACACTGATGACAGAAAACGAAGGACTGATAATTCCTTCCAGTCAGCAAGTATTTTTAGAAAAAAGAAACAGAGCAAAGAAAGGGGCAATGACTACATTTAGGGTTGGATTACAATAACACATACTGTCTTTATAACTCTCTGTAAATTATTCAACCACTCTGAGCCTCGACTCCCTCATCACTAAAATCGTGATACCTACCTATACTGCAGGACTTTGTATTAGAGAAAATGCCATAATACACTCAGCAGAGTGTGTGACATGTACTGGTTATTCAGCAAATGACAGCTGCTGTTACAATTGTTGAAGACTTTCAAAAGGAGAGAATGGAACTGCAGACACGAGAGGAGGGAAAAGGGGAAGAGAAGGGGGGAAGTGAGAAATTGGTAAAGGGCCATGAAAAATGAATACATTGTGTAATGATAAATATAGTAATTATCCTGATTCAAGCATCACATATTGCACACAGGTATTGACACTCAATGCTGTACCCCACAGATATGTACAATCAATTATGGTTCAATAAAAAATAAAATAAAATACACCAAAAAAAAAAAAAAATTGCCAAAGACACTGTGTCCTAGACCTGTGAACAATACAAGAATGAAAAAGATCCTTTAAATAATCTTGAGAGAAAAGAAAAAAATGTTTTAATTTAAAAATAGTACAAGATTACATAATCTTCCAAAATGTGAGATACAGAAAGGACCTCAATTCTTTAAGGAGCATAAATAAGCAAACATTTTCTGTAAAGGGCCAGATAGTAATTATTTAGTAAATATTTAAGACCATAGGATCTCTGTTGTAACTACTCACCTCTGTCATTACATCAAGAGAGCAGCCATAAACGAGACATAAAGGAATGTGTGGCTGTGTTCCAATAAAACTTTATTTAAAACAACAGGAGGCAAGCTGTAGTTTACCAATCTCTGTTAGTGTTTCTTGGAGAATTTAGATAAGCAATATGAAAATAGGCTTGCTTCACTTTCAAAAATGCAAGTAAACATCAGAAACTATTCATTCCTTGATACTTAAATTCACTGTTCCCTGACTATCCTTTTAAAAATTACAGACCCTCCCACACTCCCAGTTCCCCTGCCCCACAGCACATCTCACCATCTGACATTCTATTCATTTATGTCTATTATTTGTTGTCTGCCTCCCCTTGCTAAAACATAAATTCCATAAGAACCGGGGTCTTTGTTTTGATTTATTCACTAATGTAACTCAAACTCCTAGAGTAGTGGCAGGCATATACAGTAAATCCTTAATAAATATTTGTTGAATTAGTTGAATAAAGGAAGGCCAGTCCTGTCTCTAGAACCCATTTCATGCTTACTTGAGCCTATTCTCACCCACTGTTCCTCAGCAATCTCCTGATTCCTGCCCACTTTTCTCCTTTATGCGCCCACAGAATCTTGTGCTTGCTTTTACAGTGATTTGCTATTACCTGTTTACATGTCTGTCTCCACTAGTACTTCATAAGCAACTTTAAGTAAGGAACTGGGTCATCTTAGTAATCATCTTCTGCAGCTCAAGGCTAGGTGCTCAAATGTCTTTTGAATGAATGAGTTAATGAATGTGAATTAACTCCTCACCCCTACCCACCCCACCTAGGGCTCCAGCATCTCTATCCATGCAATGAGCTACACGGCCTCCACTCACTTCCAAAACTGCTCTTCTGAGAACCTATAATTTACCAAGCTCTGGCTCTTCCCAGGGCTGAGTGCTGGATTATTGTAAGAGCAGAAAGATTTAGGATTATGATTATCGCCCTCAAACAGTTTATGAGACAGTGTTGTGAAATAGACCATGCACTCCAGAAACTGTCATACAGTGCAGAAGGTTAAGTTCTGGGGGACAAGGACAGAAACTGTGCCTTTGTCACCTTCGTACCCACTCAGTGTCTAGCACAGCACCTGCCATGTTACTTAGGAACTAATAATAGTTAACATTTTTAAAGCTCATATTAAGTGCTAGGCCCTGGACTAAGCACTATATATAAATCATTTCATTTTTACAATTATTATCCTTATTTTAGAGATGAGGAAACTGAGGCTCAGAGAAATTAAGTAACTTGCCCAAGAGCACACAGCAAGTAAGTGGCTGAACTGGGACCTATGCCCATCACTCCAAAGCCGGTGCTTTTAACCAATCCACTATATTGGAGGGAGAAAAGGAGGAAAGGAAAGGAAAGAAAGAAAAACAGTGCCATGGGAGTTCAGGTGATACAGGCATATCTCCCTGACAAGATCAGGGATGAGAAGCTTCACGGAAGAGGTAATATTTGAGCTGGGACTTGCAGAGATAGGGAGCCCACTACCTGAGAAGAGTACAGCCAAAGTACAGAGACAATCTCATATCGCATTTCAGAGATTTGTGGGAGAAAGGGGCCTATCGGGCTTGTCTTCCTAGAGGTTCAGCAGCACAGGGAGGAGCAAGGGTGGAAGGGATTGAGGTAGTGGAGAAGGGGCCAGATCTAAGAGCCTAGAATATGGCGCTGTGATTACAGATGATGAAGGCCAAGTCAAGGGCTGGGAGGAGGAAGGGAAGAGAGGAACTCGGAAAGACCAGGATCAAGGTGTTGAAGAACAGGGACTTGCACAGGGGAGTTATATAACGGGTCAGAGAGAGAGGACCAAAGGAGATAGAGGGTCCGAGGGGATGGTCCGAGAGAAGGGGCAAAGGTTGCAATCAGAGGTGTCACAGGACCAGGGCCCAAGAGGCTGGGTTGTGTGTTGCGAGGCGAGGAGAAGCTGATGGCGGAGTTCAAGGGTACAGGGTTCTGGAGAATAGGTGCAGGTTCACAGATGCCGGTGAGATTGGGAGAGGATGAGCGGCTAACCCCAAAGGTAAGATCAGTGGCAGGGGGGCTGCAATACTCAAAGGCCAACAGGAGAAGGGCTGGGGGTTAAGGGTGGGGACAGCAGCCTGATCGCGCGGGCCAGGGGACAGGGACAGGGGTCGGGACAGAGGGACCACAGGGCCCCTCTGCTCCCCACTGGGTCCGCGGAGCAAAGCAGCAGCCTCCACCTCCTCGGTGGGAGGGAAGAAGTCGTGCTCAGAATTCCCCGCGAAGTCGTGTCCGCTTCCCCCCACGACCCCGGGCCCAACCCCGACCCACCTCTCTCCCGCCGCTCGGTCCGAGACAGCACCGCCTCCGCAGGCTAGGGAAGGAGCCGGAGACGGAACCCAGGAAAGGTATACGCCCTGCTTCTCCAGGATTGGCTTCTGGGGACAGCTCTTCCTTCCTATTGGGTATAGTAGCTGCCACAACGCAAGAGACACAGGCGGGATGGCCAGTAAGCTTTGGTGTCGGGCGTGGCATGCTGGGAGTTGTAGTCCTGAGGAAGATTGCATGCTCGGAGAAAACACTTGCCAAGTTCAGAAACGAGATGAGGAGACTGGGTTCCCCTCTAAGGTCGTCGGATTTCCTCCTGCGCTGCAGCGATCGAGCCCAAGGTGCAGGGAAGTTACAGAATACGCATAGCTAACGTACGTGACCTCCAGGGGGTCACGAACTCAGTTTCTTTACTTTCAGTTGGTGACCCTTGACATCCAGGGAAGCCTAGAGTCCAGGTCTCAGTCAAGGTTTATAATTTAAGAATCAAAGGAGTGTAGAACTGGAAGGGAGTTTAAAGATAAAGTAACCCAGTCCGCTTGGTGCGGGAAGCTAAATGTCCCCTGTCCAAGGAACAACCTCCAGGCCTGCCAACGCCCTATGCAGGGATTTTTCCTGGTCTTCCATGCATGCCTAGCTAAACTTAACATCGTTCATCAATCCAGGCACGACAAGACCACCACAGTGTCCAGGATTCAGATTTTCTTTTCCGGGTTTTATTTTTTTTTTAAATAGAGGCTAATCGAATATGTAGGCTAACTACAGGCTTCTCGTATCTGAACGGTATTTCAGTGCAAAGAACAAAGAGCATTGACTTCAGGGCTAGATAGACCAGGTTTGTAAACCCAGCTCTATTGCCTAGCCATTAGGAGTACCAGTTTCCTCCCCTATAAAATCCCTGGCAGAATTGTTGTAAGGATTAAATGGGCTTATATATAGCTATAGAGATAGATACAGATATGTAGCTAAGGATTAAATGAGTCTATATATTGCTATATAGATAGATATAGATAGGTAGCTAAGGATTAAATGAGTTTATATATTGCTATATAGACAGATATAGATAGGTAGCTAAGGATTAAATGAGTCTATATATTGCTATATAGATAGATATAGATAGGTAGCTAAGGATTAAATGAGTTTATATATTGCTATCTAGATAGATATAGATATGTAGCCAAGGATTAAATGAGGTTTCTACACACACACACACACACACACTCACACAGCTTCTGCTTCCACAAATGTCAGTTCTCTTCCCTGCTGGTGAGTTCTCTCATTAGGTGTGGCCAGTGTGAACAATGTGAGTTAGTTTTAAGATTGGAATATTCAGGAAAGTATATTTGAAACTGAATATGGGTGAGTGAAATATAAATACCTGATGTACACTATTAGCTTATAAATTGATAAAAATAAAATAGTAGAGGGCCAAATCAGGATAAAATTAGAGCTTTATTGTGAACTGTGATTAAAGCTTGCTTGAGTGGACTCAGGGCTGTTTGGAAACCAATCTCATAATGTGCTTTTCTCTTACCAGCCCAAAGCCTTTCCCCACAACATCTCATTCACAGTGAAAATCACAGCATGCCAAACAACAAATACCAAACTTTTATTTAAGAACTGTACAAAAGCAAACAAAAAATTCCACTTGGGCACTGTGATGGTTAATTTTATGTATCAAATTGACTGGGCCACAGGATGCCCAGATATTTGGTCAAACATTATTCTGGGTATTTCTATGAGGATATTTTTGGATGAGATTAACATTTAAATCAGTAGACTAAATAAAACAGATGGCTCTCCCTAATGTGGATGGGGCTCATCCAATCACTTGAAGGGCTGGATAGAACAAAAAAGCTGGCCCTCCCCCACTTTTTTCCTGCCTTCAGACTTGAACTAAAACATCAGCTCTCCCTAGGTCTCTAGCCTGCCAGCTTTCTGACTGGCACTACACCTCAGCTTTCCTGGGACTCCAGCTTGCTGTCTCACCCTGCAGATCTTGGGACATGCCAGCCTCCATAATCATGTGAGCCAATTCCTTATAATCAATATCTAGATAGACAGATAGACAGACAGACATCGAATTGGTTCTGTTTCTCTGGAGAACCCTGGCTAATACAGTCACTAACAGAGAGAACTTCTGACAGATGGAAAGATCCAATTCCTGTTGGGTAGAAATGTGTACCCATATGCAAGCTGATAGCCAATATCCCCACAAATAGGCCAGATCACATATGTGGTGTGACTTGAAAGTGACTAGGCTTCTTTCTGCAATCCACACCCAAAAATCAGGTTCATTATTTTATCCTCACGCCTGGTCTACCAACTTTTTATTTGAAACCAGTACTCTCTGTTTGCTACACAAATAGTCAAGTCTTCCAGTATAATTGTCTTGTGGAAAAAAGCTTCTATACTGGTGATTTAAAATGCCACTTTTTCTAGCTCGGCCTGTCTGAATCTCAGGAAGGCATTCAAACGGGCCAACACAACAGACTGACTCATCTTTCCAAGGCCACACACAGTTGAGCTGCTCTGTTTACAGCTGTGCTTCCCAGCTCCCTGATTGTGCTCCTAAGGCTTTTCAGGATTATGGCTACTGCATTTAAAGTCCCTGTACCTCATTATCATCAATAGGTAAATTAGCTTTTGCAAACATGTACATTAGCTCTGATGTCACCAAACTATATAGTAAACAGCATCCAGAAAATGGAAAAGGATGGCATATTTTACCCCCACTCCCACCCCCATTACTAGTGAAAGAAGGAAGTGTGTGTGATCCAAAATATGTTTACTTTTAGAAGGCTGACTTTGGGGGCTAAAGGCCTGAACTGAGAGAGAGAAAGAGAGAAAAGCAACCTTGATGGGATAGTAAGAAGTCAGGGGTAGGAACCATAACTTCACAGCTAAAAGCCTGAGTGCAGGATGAGGCAGAGAGAAGTTCTTCTAAATATCCCCTCAAGTAGAGAACTCTTTCCCCTGAACCTGCACTGTATCTCAATGACACACATTCAACAGCCCCACCTAAACCTAAACTGATTGTTCATTTGGTTTTCAGGAATTCTTCTTCCAGGGCAATGGGAACTTCAAGTCCCTAGAAGAAAGGCAGGATTTAGAAGTGAGCCCTGGGAGAAAAGCGGTATGAATAGAAACCACAAAAGGGTCTGGATTTGGGTTAAGCAGAAGAGACGTTCCAGAATCAGGCGTTGGGCCTGGAGACTGATACCCAGGGTGCTGGGCTGGACAGTCATGGGAGCAGGTAATGAGGCATGTCCCTAAAATGAAGGAGCCTTGAGCCCCTGAAGGGCTGAGCCAAGGTCAGAGGGCCAAGACAGGATCATATCCCCGAGCTCTGGGGCCTGCAGGGGTAGGAAGGAAGGTTTCACCTTCAGGGACACATCTCCGTTAGCTTGGCCTTTTCCTTCTGGCTTGGAGACAACTGACACCTCTGATTTCTGTAGTTCTGAACAAATAATTAGAGGTGCTGTGTTTTTCCCTCCATCATGAAGACAAGGTTCAAAAAAAGGGCGAAGGGGACCAGAGAAACTGTGGGTGAAAGTAAAGATGTGGGACTTGTTGGTCACATTGTAGAAGGAGATGACTCCTGCTTCATAGTCCAGGAAAATTCCCACACAACGGGGAGGCTCTTTCAGGCGGAAAGAGGTCTGTGGGGACGTGAGAGCTTCATACTCACTCCCATGAGTCTGTCGCACAAGCCAGTGTCCATTGGCGGGTGAGGCAGTGACCTTCCCCTTCCTGGCCACTGACTCACTACACACCCCAAGGATCCACTTGGTCTTGTCTCCCACGTACACCTCCCAGTAGTGACAGCCAGCCGTGAAGTACTCGGAGCCTAAGACGCTGACGACAAAATCAAATCTCTGGGGGTTGTCGGGCACAGGCTGCTTTCTGTCTCCAAGCCTCACACATCTCCGGTCCTCAGACAGGATGAGTTTGGGATGTGCTGTGTCGGGGTCCAGGGTCACCACCACTACAGAGAGTCACAGAGAGTTGAGGTTTGGGAAGGGTGGGTCTTAAGGGGTCTTTAGGAGTTTTAGAGGGAAAAATAATCTCTAGATCTGCAATCACTGTCCTTGGGTCATTTTAGTTTCATGGATCCCCCACTATATGTACTGGAATGAAAGAATACTGTCTTCCAAAGAACAGGTTTCCTGGTAGTGTACAAAGTAAAAGACGGAAAAGTTCTTCTTCATCTGTCTGTGAAGCTGCCTTAATCCTGAGGAAATACTACATTTGTCTTCCATGTTCCAAAGGAATCTAATGTACGATCATAAACATAGGCTTTGATGTTAGACTTTGCAGTCACATAGGATGTCTGAGTGACAGCTCTGCCACACGCTAATTATGTAACCTTGGGCTTATTATTCATCTCTAAACCTTAGTTTCCTCATCTGTAAAATGAGAATAATAACAGGACCCATGTTGTAGAGCTGTCATGCAGACCTGAAGAGCTAATACATGAGATAGTGCCTCGTTCCTACCCTGTGTGATACTTACGTTGTTACCTAAAGTTATTGCTTATTATCATTTTAAATGATAATTTTAAAGATTCTTCCTTAAAACTGTGGATTATGAGGGTCACAGGGAGTCTCCCTCCTTTCTCAAATATGGGAAATGGGGTCTTCTTGAAGTTAAATCCATGATTGGTTGATGTGCTGACATTAAGCCAGACTGTGAATGTGAGACTGGAGGGTTTATGAGTTACCAGAATGCCAGTCAAGGTGACCTGGTGTTCTCTCAAGTGGCCATCTCATCGATTCTATTGTACCCTGCCTGAAGGGAGATAGTGTGAACAGGAAGGGAATGAAGAGCCTGGAAAATTGATAAGGACCCCAGAGCAGTGACAATAACAGATCCCGTTCAAGCAGCAGCAAAAAATGCAAACTATTTAGGAATAAATTGAAGGAGAGTTGTGCAAATCTTTTAGAATAAAACTAGAAAACCTTTTTGTAGTCTATATTATTGGAGCATCTGCCCAACCCATTCCATTCTCTGAGAATCTTTATCACCACCCTCCCCCATAAGGAAATTGCTCTGCAGAGAAAGAAGAATGTGCAAGATTTGTAGAAAGAGACAGGAGCAGTGCCTATTCATCTGATTGTGGGATAGGAAGGACTTCCCAAACCTGAAAGCACAGAAAAATCTACACGGGAGAAGGTCAATAAATTTGATTTCATGTGTCAAGAAAATACTATAAGGGAATTAAAATGCACATGAAAAATAATCTGTGACATATATGACAGAGTTAATATACCTTAGTTAATATACTTTAGAAAGAGTTAATACACAAAGAATCCTCACAAATCAAAAAGTAGCCCAAAGAGGACATGAGGAAAGTCACAAAGAAGACATAGAAATACCCAATAAACTTAAGAAAAATCTCAAAAATCATAGAAAACCCATAGAAGATCAAACCTAATATTTATCAGTGCTCTGAAAGAGGGGATATTTTCCAATCTAAATGTGATCCCCAAAAATCACAAAGATTTTTTAAAATTTGATAAGCAGATAAACAGATGTGATAAAAATAAAACTATTATAGTCCATATTCCAAAGGAATGGAGCAAATTCTAAGGTTACAAAGCCTTAAAAAGGATGAGCTCTGACACATGGATCAATTTGATTGGTGTAACTTACCAAAATGCAGCCGGGCTCTTCTCCAGCCTGAAGGACATAAAAGGGGATTGATTGTTAAAGCAATGGAGAAATCGAGGACTTCCATTGAGTAAAGGTCAAATATGGGGACAGTGCATCACACCTGAGTTTGCTGCAGCTCTTTTCAACTCTGTGAAAGAAGAAACAAGAGGGATGAGCTATCACTGGGAAGATCAGAACAGGAGATAAGTTGGATGGAAGTTATAAGAACATAGGAAACTTACTCAGTTCACTCCGGAGTTTCTCTAAGGAATAAAAACATTTCAACAATGAGAACAAGGGCTTCTACGTTCCCATAATGCTATCTATAGTCCCATCCCAACCACATTCCTAGAGCAGATGCTCAATAGCCATACCCTGCAACTTCCCCATAGGAGTGTTTGCAATGGCAATAGCTCCCAGCTGTGGGCATGGGTCCCCAGAGATACTGCAGAGGGTCACAAATTCCTACCTAAGCCAAACTTTACCTGCAAACCAAATAATACATCACACACTTACAGGTGATGACAATATGAATGTATGTAGATATTGTAGGAGAATAGTAAAACTTCATTTAAAATTACCACTGAGTTGATTAGATTTTATCATGAACATTTTCTCAATATAAAATAAAATAGATATGTTTCATGTCTGCAGATTATTTTTTAATGTTAAAAAGAGGTTTTCATACATGAAGTGGTAGGGAAGCTCTGCTCCAGCACATTCAGTTTAACGAGGATCCATGCACCTTGGACCCCACCTAAGGGAATTTCATGCTTGGGTGATAAAAGGGACTTCCAGGTGGCTTCACCTATGGGAGGTACGTTTCTTCCTGGTAAAACATTTCTCTTTTAGAGACTAGGTAACAGCTGTGCAGGAAAGAGGAGCAGGGAATACTTGAGAAAAGAGGCCTTTGAGAGCCAAGAAATTCCCAGTCCCCATGGCCTGAATTACCCTTGCCCCTCCCTTCTGCTCCAGGAAGTGACATTGATACACTCATCCTAAGGCAAAGATGTCAGCAGAAGGAAGTTCATGCCACAGATGATGAGAGGACTTACTGAGGGCTTTGTGGAGTCTTCCTAAAAACGAGAGAGAGAGAGAGAGAGAGAGAGAGAGAGAGAGAGAAGTGAGTGATCACATCCTGCCCTTTTATCTGGGGCCCTCGAAGGCTCATCACTCCACCTCCCACTATCAGTCCTTAATCCAGTCCCGCATCCCAGAAGTCAGACTCTGGAATCCGATGGTACTGGTGTCACTTTCCCGATGATCCAGCCTGCCCAGGACTTTGGTTCCTCCATCCTCTTCCCTTCCTTTGTGTCTGTCTGGTTTCATTTCTGCTGTTTGTGTGGGTGTTTCCGTGTGTTTGTAACTGTGGTGCATGAGTGTATGCCTTGCTGCCCTTTTATAGCCTGCTGTTTATGAAATCTAAGGTGTAAACTAGCTAAAGGCCTAGCACTGACTGGTTGACATGGCTTTATTATTCTCTACAGTAACTCCACTGATGCTACAAATTTCACAAATTGGAAGGTCCCAGAAGGTTTGGGGGCATATGTGTATGCTTCATACGCTTTGAGGGGAGTAATTGTGGCTTCTGTGGAGAGGCCGTCTGGCCCACATTTTTCCCTATCTAGCATTGGCCCTGCCAGAGAATTGAAGTTATGCATCTGAGTCCACCGCCAGCCCCTGTGCTGAGGGCTGGGCCTGTGTTCAGCATTAGGCATTGGAGCAATGGAGCTGAGTAGGACCCGGCTCCTAAGGAACTTATGGTTTACTGTCACCATTTCCACTGTTAATAGCTTTCATTTACTGTGTCCTGTTCTTATACAGAGGTAGGCACTGAATCCTCTCAATGACATGAGGTGCATAGAATTATTTTCCATGTTTTACAGAGGGGTGGTCCACGGCTTACAGGGAAATGAAGTTTGCCCAAGGTCAACCAGCTAGTAAGTGGCAAGGAGGCAAGGTTCAAAGCCAGGTCTGTGTGACTCCCGAGTCGAAGGCCCTCACCATTACACTATACCACTCCCTTTGCTCCTGGGCAGACTGGCCAGAGTGTCGACAAGCTGGGAGCAAATGTAAGGAGGAAGAGAAGAGATGCCAAAATCATTGAACTTGGAGCCATCTGGCCCAGTGGCTTGTCTTCCAAGTTCTACTTCAAAAGGGTGTCTTACTTTGACCCTCAGTGGCCCCCAGCAAACATTTAATTCATAAAGACCAAATGGCAGTAAGGGAAGGAAGTTCCAGGCACCGAGATAGACTTTTTAAAAAGGTTGTCTCTTTTAATACTGAAAACAATCAGATAAGGGGACTTATTATCCCCACTTTACAGATGAGGAAACGAAAGCTCAGAGCAGTAAAGTGACTTATCCAAGGCCAGTAAGTGACAGACCAGTGTTCTGAGTCAGGTGTTGCCGGCTCCAGAGCCTGTTACCCTTCTACTGTGTCACACCACCTCTCAACGCAGAAGTTGTGTGGATTCTTGAGAGTCTCATACATCACATGTGACCATATTAATATACTTTTAAATAATACGTAAACTTCCTTTTTAAGTGATTGGTGGAAAGGCGGCCAAAGGGAGCTCATGATAGTCTAGACCTGTGAATTTTGACCACAGGCATCCCCTCACCCACTGCCACCAACTCTACAGCCCCTTGACACTGGAAACTAAATTCCAATAATATTAATGGAGGGTACATATATACATATATAATATAATAACAGGCTGTCTGCATTTATGCAAAAGGAGAAAGAATATGTTATTTGTTCCCTACCCCTTACTCTTTACATATAATTACCTTTTTCTTTTGCATGGTCTGAGAGAAGATTTTCTAGAGGAAGGAAAGGAAAAGAAAATGAGATTCTTTGCTGTTACCTTGAGGGTCCCTGATTCCCATGATTTTACCTGCTCTTGAACCTGTCTAACTCTGTCTATCTCCACCTCTACCTCCCTGAACCAGCCCTTCATTATCTCTCATCTGGATAACAGAAATGGTAGCCCAGATTGTCCACCACATCCTGTCTTACCCCCTCTGGCCTCTTCTCAGCACTGCATCCAGAGTTTTTCAAACCATAATTCTGATCAGGATATCCCCATTCTTTGCTTTACCACTGCTCTTAGGAGAAAAACTAAAATCCTTAACGTGATCTACAAGGCCTCCCACGGCCTAGCCCCTGCCTAACTCCCCAGCTTCATCCCCTGTCACCTATTCCCTTGCTTCCACACCTTTTCAGCCCCTCAAATGAGCGCTGCTTTCCCCTGACCATGCTTCTTTCTCAAGCTGTGGAGTTTTCCATTCCCTCTTCACTCATGACTTACATTCCTTCAAACATCACAGCCTGAACCCTCAAGCTTGATTGGTTTCTCCTGGTCATGATCTTCTTATAGGAACTTTCTTTCATGGCATTTGTGCACAGTTTTTTGCGTAATTATTTAATTCCCATAATCTCCCGACTAGACTGAGTTTCAGCAGGGCAAAGACTGTGCCTGCTTTTACTCACCATTGTATCCCCAGAATCTAGTACAGTCCAGAGCATGTAGTAGGTAATTATTCGTTGAATGAATAAAAGTTTCCCCCATGTCCAACCTACATGACTCCCACAGAATGAGCTCACAGACGAAAATCACCAAACATACTAGAAGGCAAACTATTACAAGAGGCAGTAAAAACTGGAAGCAACAGATTTAGACACCATCACCACCACTACCACCGAGGACAGCAGATGATGGAATTTCCAGGTACAGAATTTAGATTAGTGGGCACTGGAGGTACAGAAATGAACAAAACAGAGAAACATCTCCCCCACACCCAGCCCAGGACACTTACCTACCTCCATCACCTGTTCATAGAGAAGCTTTTCTAGAAGAGACAAAGTGGCGTCAGCTCAGCTTTAAGATAAGGGCTTTTCCTAACAGTCATAGTTGTCCAAACATGGCCCAAGCTGCCTGAATAGGACTGACTCCTTGTCACTATAGGTGTGTGACCATTTGAAGGGATTAGAGGGTCTTCAGCCCACCACGTGAGGGATGAATTTTGGATTATGTGACTTTCAAAGTCCTTTGCACCGCTGAGATCCTATGAAATGTGACCATTTTTATGAGGGTTTTCTCCAATGGGTACAATTGGATTTCTTGATTAGAAGACTCTAATTAACTTATTAGCTAATTAGAAGGCTGGCATGGTCAGTTATTTTCTAATTTCTCAAAGGATGAGCATTCACAGCTCTGCCAGGGGCAGTTTATTTAATTCCCTCTGCAATATGAGTTCCCAGGGCACAGCTCTACCATTTCCTCCCAGCCAACTTGCGGGGTCTCCAACCTATGGATAGGCATCATGTCTACATCTACTTCCTTCCAGCCTTTTCCCAGAGCAGTCAGAGTCCCACTTCCTGTAGTGCTGGGCTCCCTTACCACTTAGTTACCTTTTGATTTCCTTTGCCTCCAGATGAGGAAAATGCATGCCATGTTGAGAAGCCCCAGGACAGACACAATCACAGCAAGAGCCACTGCTGAGGATGAGACCCTCCCCTGAGATGGGGCTGAAACAGAAACCACCAATGGTCACCCTCAGGGAGATGTCTATGAGTTTCTCTCATGCTTCAGGTGGCGGATGGTTCAAGCACATCCCAAGTTTCTCCATCACCTCTAGGAGAGACCTCCAGACAAGATTTGTGAGGCTCTTTGCTTCTCTTGGTAACTCAAACCTTGGATGAGTTTAAAGATAAGTGAAATGTTCATCTCTCAGGATCACTTTAGATGGTCCCACCTGAAGACAATGGTTTAAACTCAGCTTCTTAACCACAATCTCATCCTGCCGTATAATTCAATGGAAAAATAATCCAGGGACTTCAGAGAATGGAAGGTACTCTCCTCACTAAACACATGTAGTCTTCTCAAGAACACTCACCTGCCTCCTAAAAACCCTCACTCTGCACTGGAACACCAGTCAGCAACCTCCTTGCCCTGTGCATTATCAGCAAGGGCACAACCATTTTTATGGCTCCACAGCAGCAGGCCTAGAGTCTAGGCAGGACAGAAAGGAGAAAAGAAAGAAGAAAATCAAGGGTACTAGAAAAAGTTCATGGAAAGATTTGCATTATCTTTAAATTCTATTTTTCCATGAACTTTCTGAAGTACCCTCATATTAAAGGGGAAAAAAAGAGCAAAAGAGGGCTATGAGCAGAAGTGGTTGAGAGCCGGAGCTGGGTGTGAGTCTTAGCTCAACCACTGTGTAGCACTAGGCAAGATTTCAGATAAACAACCTAACAATGAATCTTAAGGAACTAAAAAAGCAAGAACAAACCAAACCCAAAATTAGCAGAAGAAAAGGAATAATAAAGAGCAGAGCAGAAATAAATGAAATTGAAACCCAAAAAACAATGCAAAAGATTGACAAAACAAAATGTTGGCTTTTGTGAAAAGAGAAACAAAACTGACAAGCTATTAGCTAGACTAACCAAGACGAAAGAAAAACTCAAATAAATAAAATCAGAAATAAAAAAGGAGACACTACAATGGATACCACAGAAATACTAAGGATCGTTAGAGACTATTATGAACAACTATATGCCAACAAATTAAAAAGCCTAGAGGAACTGGATAAATTCCTGGACCCATACAATCTACCAAGATTGAACCAAAAAGAAATAGAAAACCTGAGCAAACCAATTATGAGTAAAGAGATTGAATTAGTAAAGTCTCCCATTAAAGAAAAGGTCCAGACCTACTGGCTTCACTGCTGAATTACACCAAACATTTAAAGAAGAATTAATACCAATTTTTTCAAACTCTTCCAGAAAATTGAAGAGAAGGGAATTTTTCCAAACTCATTCTATGAGGTCAGCATTACCCTGATACCAAAACCAGACAAAGACACAACAGAAAAAGAAACATTAAAAAGATCATTTACCATGATCAAGCAGGATTTATCCTAGGAAGCAATGATGGTTCAACATACCCAAATCAATAAATGTGATACATCACATCAAAAGACTGAAGGACAAAAACCATATGATCATCTCAACTGATGCAGAAAAAGCATTTGATAAATTTTAACATCCTTCATGACAAAAACCCTCAATGAATTAGGTGTGGAAGGAACATACCTCAACACAATAAAGGTGATATACAACAAGCTCACAGCTAATATCATACCAAATGGGGAAAAGCTGAAAGTTTTTCCTCTAAGAACAGGAACATAACAAGATGCCTGCTCTCTCCACTTCTATTCAACATAGTACTAATAGTCCTAGCTAGGACAATTAGGCAAGAGAAAGAAATAAAAGGCATCCAAATTGGAAAGGAGGAAGTCAAATTGTCCCTGTCTGCAGACAACATAATCTTATATATAGAAAACCCTAGGACTTCTGGTCAAGATGGCAGAATAGACAGTCCCCAGCATCACTCTCTCCCACAAATCAACTAATTTACAGCTATTAAAAAGCAATGACAGTCAAGCTGGGGCCACTAGAGCTCAGGGGAAAAGGAAGAGAGACCTATGGAGTACATGAATGCCAGAGAAGCCACGATAAGAGAAAGAAAAACCTCTCCGACCATTTTGAGTCCTGGCTGCTTCCAGGCTGGAGCTGCTGAGCTCATGGAGCAGGAGCCAGCAAAAGCTGCAGCTGTGCCCTTCCAATGAAGTTGCATGGAGGTGGCAGGGGAGAAGAGGGCCTTGGTGGCCCCCAAGCCAGCAAGACCAATAATAGGTTCCCGTGGACCCACATAGGAGAGAGGAGCCACAACAACTGAAAAAAAGGAGCCATTCAGAAGCCGGTGAGTCATTGCAAGAGACTGGCGCATGGCCCATCCCATGAGAAGTGTTTGCAGCACAAGTGGTAGAGGAAACAGGCTCATCGGGAGAACACTGGAACACAGCAAGAACAGCTGATCTGCCCCCAAATCAGCACAGGATCACTCAGAGGAAACTGATCAGGAATATAGAATTCCACAGGGTGCAGTTTGATGAAAAGACTCAAGCCCAGACCAGTGTTTCTACACAACCCAGGTGCATTGGATTTCACTTAACCCAGAAGTCCTATAAAGTCAACCATTAAAACCTAAGCTGTACAAAAAGCCTTTCCCAGGGAATCAACAGCAAAGCAACAATTTAGCTCAACCACTGAGCTCAAGTACTGGTTCCCACAGGAAGTTCCCCCACTTTAGAAGTAAGCAAAGGACAACGAATTAGTTTCAGTGCAGAGTTAAGTGGTGGGAACATCAAATAACCCAACACAGAACTGAAAGAAAAAACAGAGTACCCACAACCAGAGACGAAGTTTGATATTAACTAGAAAAGGTCTAATTTCACCAAAGAACACCTATAACACCTAGAAGGACCAGAAGTCCTCTGGGCTATAAGCCAGAAAGGGGCGATGATCAGGCACACCACCAGCATCACAGGGCCTGCCCAGGGTCCTGAGGTCCGAAGCGGGAACTGGACCCCCTCCCACAATTAGACACACTGCCATTGCCAACACCAACTAGGTAAGGAGCATGCCAAAAACATCACCTCCATGTGGGAGGGCCACCACAATAACCACGGCTGCCATGAAAGAGGCTAGATGCCAAAACCACCATGCAGATGGTCCGCCAGCCACTGGAGGGCATTGACACAAGGAGAGTCACCAATAGAGACCAAAGAAAAGAAGAGGATGTCTCTCCCCACAAAGCCCATTTCGGAGTGACAGAAGAAGCACCTGCTGTATGATAATAATAGGGGGCCTGAGCACACCTCTCAGCATTGGACAGATCATCTAGGCAACAAATCAACAGAGTAACCATTACTCTTTCAGAAGGAGAGAAGAAATCTAGGCTTATCAGAGTGGGGAGGGAGAGGGAGAGGAGGATAGGGAGAGATTGGACAAGGGGCATAAAGAATAAGCACAATTTGTAACAATATATATGCTAGTAATATTGATTTGATCAACATTTGTCAACATTGAACCCCAAAAGTATGTATAATCAATTATGATTCAATAAAATTTTTTAAAAATAAAAACCTTAAAAAAAAAGAAAACCCTAAAAGCTACACCAAAAATCTCTTAGAACTGATCAACAAATTCAACAAAGTTTTAGAGTACATAACAACATACAAAAATCCATAGTATTTCTATACACCATTAATAGATGGAGCAAATGAAAAAGAAATCAAGAAAGCAATCCCATTTATAATAAATACCAAAAAAATAACCCAAAATACCTAGGAATAAATTTAACCAAGGAGGTTAAAGATCTCTAGAAGGAAAACTATGAAACACTGATGAAAGAAGTTGAAGAAGACACACATCCCATGTTTATGGATTGGAAGAATTAATATTGTGAAAATGACCATACTACCAAAAGTGATCTACAGATTCAATGGAATCTCTGTCAAAATATCAATGATATTCCCTCACAGAAATAGAAAAAACAATCTTCAAATTCATATGGAACCACAAAAGACCCCGAATAGCCAAAGCAATCCTGAGCAAAAAAGACAAAGCTGGAGGCACCACACTACCTGACTTCAAAATATAGTACAAAGTTGCAGTAACCAAAACAGCATGGTACTGGCATAAAACAGACACTTGGACCAATGGAACAGAACATAGAACCATGTACTATGTTCAGAAATAAAGCCATGTACTTACACCAAGTGATTTTCTACAAAGATGCCAAGAATATTCATTGGGGGAAAGGACAGTCTCTTTCATAAATGGTTTTGGGAAAACTGGATGTCCACATGTAGAAGAATGAAACTAGACCCTTATCTCTCACTCAAATGAATTAAATCAACTCGAAATGAATTAAAGACTTAAATGTAAGGCCCCAAATTATGAAACTACTAGAAGAAAACATAGGGGAAACACATCAGGCTATTGGTCTAGGCAAAGACTTTATGAAGACCTCAAATGCACAGGCAACAAAAGCAAAAACAGACAAATGAGATTATATTAAACTAAAAAGCTTCTGCACAGCAAAGAAAACAACCAAAAGATTGAATAGACAACCTGCAGAATGGGAGATAATATTTTCAGACTATACATCTGACAAGGGATTAATATACAGAATATACAAGAAACTCAAACAACTCAACAACAAAAAACCAAATAACCTGATTTAAAAACGGGAAAATGAGCTGAATAGACATTTCTCAAAAGAAGACATACAAATGGCCAACAGGTATATGAAAAAGTGCTCAACATCAAAATGGCCAACAGGTATATGAAAAAGTGCTCAACATCAAAATGGCCAACAGGTATATGAAAAAGTGCTCAACATCACTAACCATTAGGGAAATGCAAATCAAAACCACAATGAGATATCATCTCACTTCAGTTAGAATGACTTTTATCAAAAAGACAAAAAATAAAAACTACTGGTGAGGATGCAAAGAAAGGAATGTAAACTGTTGGTGGGAATGTAAAATTAGTACAGCCATTATGGAAAACAGTATGAAGATTCCTCAAAAAGCTAAAAATAGAAGTACCATATGATCTTGAAAAAAATATACCAAAATGCTAGCAGTGGTCCTCTCCAATGTATAAGATTATAGGACATCGTTTGGTTTCTTTAAAATATTCTGTATTTTTTCAAGTTTTCTACAATATACATGCTTTATTCTTAGAATTTAAAAAATTTGAAAATTCTTTATAAAGTTTCCACTAGGGTAAGAGTTTTTCTCTGGAATCACCATGTGCTTCAATCCTGTTTTTCTCCCCAGCTTTTCTCCCTACTATGATCATGGCTATGGTCTTCTCTTGGCCAAGGTCCACATTGCAGATGGTACAGGACACATTCCCCAGAGTGCTGTCCCTGACTTTGCTGGACTCTTCTATTTGGAAAAGCCCAACTTCGTCCAGGGAGTGGGCTTCTGACAGGGATAGAAGTTCCCTGCCTTTAGGTTCTCTCTTCTTGGCCCAAGGCTTTGGGAACATCCCATCGACCTGCACACCAGCTGGATCCATCCAGCATCACAGCCCTTCATGTAGATGTAAGGATCAGAGCTTAGAACCAGAGAGAAGAGCTTGTCTGGCTGAACCAGCCCAGAAACAGACTGGCAGGGCCATAGCAAGGGCTTAGACCTAGCCAAGCCCTATCCCTTCAATAGCTGCCTCTGATAATCAGAGGCAGCTATTGGTGGAACTTCAATGTCTGCCCTCTCCCCACCCCCATGGTCCTCTCAATGGGATAAGACAGTCTCTAGCTTTATCCTAATACCTTTCGAAATCTAGAGACTGCATCACATGATTCAGATTCTTTTGAGCACCCCAGTCCCCTTTTAAAAATTACTTTTCCTGGTTCATTCCCAGGTTTCAGAACTAAAAAAAATAAAAAATAAAAAAATAAAAAAATTAATTAATTAAATAAAATAAATAAATAAATATTACTTTTCACTCCAGAGGACTCCATGTTTGGAAAGAGTTTGTCTATCAGTTACTGCCTGGTTTTAAAGTATGAAATTGATTCTCCCCCTCTCTTTGGTGTGCAACTCTAAGTTATGACCAAAAGATTATCAGAGGGTGACCATGTGGAGCTGGTGTCATTCTAGCAAATGCAAACACATAGGTTTGGTTTAGTTTGGTTTTTGGTAGACTGATTTTTTAAAATATTGAAGTTAGTTTGAGAAACACTATCTCTACCTTCCTCAACCTTTGAGTACTCAGGAACCCCAGGAGAGGACTTATTAAGTAAATCCTTGTCACAGCTTGGGATTCTGGGCCTTGAGGACATTTCCTTACAGCCACGGTTGTGAGTTCCTTGACAATGGAGCAAAGAAAGATGACCCAGAGAGGAAAAGCTATTGTCTGAGCCAGCAAGTCCTACAGGTTACTGATTGACTATATTTAACCAGGACCGACACTGTACAGTGTTTTCCAGACGGTTACTTCCTCATCAGCACCGCCTGGGCCAGAGTCCCAGCTTCAGCTGAGATCAATGGACCTGGCTGGTAAGACTGAACCATCGGGCAAGTAAAAACTGCATTGCAAATGAAAGAAAAGTCTAGTTATGGAAGGACAGAGCACTGCGTCTCTTGACGGAGCTCATCCAATTGCCGCAAATGACCGCGGGCACCTCAAAGCCATCCTAACCTGCAACCTGCAGGGTCACGGTGCTCTCTCGACTCAGGTTTCCGATCTGGATCTGACATCGGTACGGCCCTTGGTCTTCCAGGCGCACGTCGCGGATCTGCAGTGTGACGCTTCCCTCTAGGGCGTCTCTAACCAGGGTCGTCCTCCCTTTATACTCCGGCGTCAGACCTTCATCCCGGTCCTTCCCATCACGGAACACGTGAACAGCCTGGGAGCGCTGCGGGTGTGGGGCCCGCAGCCACCTCACCTCCGTGGGCACCGCCCCGGGCCAGAGGGAGAGCGGGCAGAGAAGCGCCGCCGTGCCCCCCAGCGGCGCCAGGTGGAACTGGCTGGCACTCCCTGTGTGCGGACAAAGAAGGGACTAAGATCTGGGAGGGAGGGATGGGGAGAAAGAGCTAGGGAAGGATTGAGGGAGAGGATATCCCGGGCGAAGAACAGAGCCTGCCTGAAAAGGGCATTGGAAAGGACTCGGGGAAGAACAAAACCCAAACAGCAATAAGGTCTCTGGCCAAGCTCCTTATTCTGGGGATGCCATCGTCAGATATCCCAGGCAGGAAAAGAGGTTCAGAAACTCTTACCCGACACGTGTGACAGCAGCTGGAGGAAGACAAGAGCGAGGAGGCAGCTGGACAGCAGAGAGCCAGAGGAACGTGCCATCTCCATCTGAACTGGGAGGACAGACACAGGGAGACACAGAACAGGGCTGGTGAGCTCCATGTGACAGAGGTATAACCTAGGAGCTGGGGCCCCGCCAGAGGTGGCATCTCCTAAGCTCTGGAATCACACAGACTGGCTTCCAAGCCCAGCTCTGCTGCTTACCTTCTTGTAACATTGTGACAACTTCTCTGAGACTCTGTTTCTTCATCTTTAAAATAGGCCCAGTAGCAGTGTCTCCTTGCAGGATTACTGTGAGGCCTGCAGGAGGCAAGCACTCACATGGAGGCTGGCATCCTGGCTAAGTCTACAAATGCCATGATTGAGGAGGATGATGGGGAAGAGATGCGTGAGGACCCCCAGGGCGAGATGCTGTGCATGATTTAGAAGGCATAAGAAGGAGTCTGGGAGAGCAAGATAACTTACACCCTGAACTCACCAAGTAAACACCGGAGTCCTGGCCTCTATTTGCAGCTAGTGTCCAGGGCCAGGCTTGGGAAGTGCCTGTTTCAAGCCAGTCTTCACCCACAATGTGGCCTTTCCCTGACAGCCTTTCAAGTATAAATCTTGACAAATAATAAACCAGGGTATTGAGGTCCCTCCATTTCATTACGAAGATTCTAATCCTACAAACCCACGGTCTGAAGTTTGAAAGACCTGGGTTCCAGTCATAGCTATACCCATTTACTAGTTCTTTGTCCCTGGGAAAGTTGCATAACAGGTCTGGGCCTCAGGTTCTTAATCTATAAAGAGGGGAACCTTCTTCACAGGTGAGTGTGAGAGTTTAAGGAGATAACACACATAAAGCACTGCCTACACATGCCTGGCGGAACAGGTGCTTAATAAATGTGTAGTTATTATGAGTAAACTAAAAGAGGACAATTTCCCTGGGAGGTGCAGATCACTGTGTGCCTTAACCATGGGGAGACCCTAAAGGATTCCCTACTGTCAAACTCATTCCTCACCTACTTGCTACTGCCTGAAATTCCTTTAGCAGGAAACAGAATCTCTCATGCCACAAGAGAGGATAAAGTTCAAAATGTAAACACTCTAGGATGAGAGAACTTGTCTCTTAAATTCTCTCTAAGGTTTCAAATCCTTTCCAAAGAGGAGGTTTTTGCAGAAGTCAGCAGGCCTGGACTCTGATGGTCATGGAATAGGGCAATGATGGGACTTGGAGGGGTGTTGATGGGAGGTTGAAAAACTGAAGACGAACTTAAGTGTCAAATACATTCTTGCTTTGAAAATCAATTCTGTTTTTCTCATGACAAAAATCACGTTGGTTTAGGTTTGCTTTTATTTTTTAATCATGGTGCATACAACACACTCCTCTAATCCCACCATGTTGCAAATGATACATAATACTAGGCCATGGTGATGTTAGGATTACATTAGGACATTGTTTTTTTTGGGGGGGGGTTGCCTCTGTTGTACTCACTTTCCTACAGGTTATCAGCTATTCAGAAACTCAAGAGAAGTAAATGTGAAACACTCTCTACTTTATAAATTATGGTTGAAGTGGAAGTAGACAGGGCCCAGGATCCCCTAGAATTACTCCCAATCCCCAAACCCCTCAACTTCCTAGTGATTTTGAAACACACCCTGGGTAGACATGGCCAGAGTGACACAGAGCTCCAAGCTGAACCAAGGACGCCTGAAATCAAATAAGAGGAGACCTTATTGGGCCCATAATCCTAGATTCAGTCAATTTGTGGGTTTTTTTGTAGTTTTTGTTTTGTTTTGTTTTCTAAAGATGACTGGTAAGGGGATCTTAACCCTTGACTTGGTGTTGTCAGCACCATGCTCTTCCAAATGAGCCACAGGATGGCCCTAGATTCAGTCAATTTGTGAAGGGGTTAAGAGGGTGGTCTCTAGAGTCAACCTGGGTTCAAACCCTGGTTCTATGTGGTGGCCTTAGACAGGTTAGTTTACTTCTCCAAACCTCCTCTCACTCATACATGACATGAAATTAATAATAGTACCTACCTCGTAGATAGGTCTATAGTGAGGATCAAAGAAAATACATGTAGAATGATTTGCACCAGATGCTGGAAATAAAATCAAATGAAGTCCTTCATCAGATTGTCACTCTATGTAATGAGGGCAACTGAGGTGGCTTCAGGACGGGAGTCTTCCTGAAGCACATCACCAAGCCAGTGATTAATGGAAAGCAACCGTGGGAACAGACTCAACCTAGGAGAGAATGATAGCAGAAGTAGGGTGTTCATTCTCTAGTCATCAACAAAATGCAAGTTAAGGCCACAGTTAGATATCACTTGTCTTCCTTCAAACTATCAAAGATTAGGAAAAAATAATATCCAGAATCATCATACACGTGGGAAAACTAACTCTCTTGTCCATTGCTAAACAACTTTCACAAAGACAATTCAGCAACACGTATCAAACGATTTACAAATATGCAGAAGTTTTAGTCTAGTAATTTCACCTCCAGAAATAATCCAAATGAAATAAGTAAAAATGTGCATAAGGATTTGATGGTGAGGATGCTCACCACAAAATTATTTATAAAAAGGAAAAATTGAAAACAACCTAAAAGTTCATTAAAATGGGAATGGTTAACTAATTATGGTACATCCTTACAATGGGATACTATGCAGCATTTCATAATCACCTGGTGGAACAATCTTTAAGGGCAGTGGGAATTTTTCACTACATCCCAAACAATGTTTTTTAAAACTATGTATAGTATGATATTATCTGGGGGAGGCAATGCTTAGGAAAAAGGCAAAAACATAGATATTAAATAGTAGCTACTTCTGGGGGAGGGATTAGAGGTGATCCTTATGGTTTTCCTTGTATATTTTCCTTTATATTTTCCATTTTTTCTACCTTGAACATGTACCAATTTGGTTATCAGAAAACATATGTTAGAAGAACGACAGGGGTGATCAGGAAAGGAAGGAGAAGACATGGTTTACTTTGGGCAAAGGCACACACAGCCCAGAATTCAAAGAAGCAGAGCTGGAAGTCCCCACGGGTTCTATTAAGCCGAAGCTGCAGCCACAGCTCCTCAGCAGGGAGCTCTCTTCCTGAGAGCTTTGAGTGGAAAATTGACAAGTTCTGCCTTGTGTTTTGTGTGGGTGTAAGAACCATCTGGTCACCATACTTATCTCCAGGATTTATTCTTCTGATCTAGTCATCTCGGATGGTCCCTTCCTCTAACAAATGTTCTTCTCTAACAAACATTATACCAGTATTATAGCAATCAATGTTATATTAGTGTACGACTGAATTAACATACATATGTTTTTAATTATAATATTGTTCTATACTAATAATAGCTCCCACTGATAACAAAGTAGGTATTTGTTGAAAAGTAGGTTTTATTTTCCTCTTTTACACTTAAAACAGGAAAGGCAATCATATACACATTCGGATACCAAGTGAGCAAACTGCCAGGACCCTTTCTGGAAGCAGATAGAATAAGGTACATGGAAAAATAGACGAACGAAGGAATGAATGCATAGCCCTGTGTTATGAGTAACAAAATGGGCAAATGACTTCCTCACTTTACAGAGCGATTATCATGGAATTCCTTTATAAAGGAATTCCCCCTAGTAAACATACAGTATGATTTCACTTCCTCAAGTTCAATGTATGTGCCACAATTTGGGGTTTTTTCCATCCTACTTATTGTAAGGAAATCTGGAAATTACAAAAAAAAAAAAAAAAGATAAAAAATTTTAAATCATCTGTAATTCCTCTACCCAGATATAACATTTCTTTGAATCTTTTTTTATACATGTATATAACTTTTTTAAAAAATACAACTTCCAGTGTGTCTATGTCTGGGTGTAAAAAGAAAAAATGTAAGATCATACTTGATAAACTGTTTTGATACCTGATATTTTCTTCAAGCACTACATTATGCACATTTCCAATGTCATCAAATATTCTTTTAATACTTCAGTGTTCCATCATGGATATGTGAGAATTTTAAAAATACTCCCATATTGTATGAGATTTAGGTTGATTTCCAATATATTACTATTATACACATTGCTACCAGGGATAGTGGATTGAGGGCTGGCATCAGGAGGGTTAGTGCTAGTCCGACTTGATCCCTAACTAGCTGTGTGACTTTGTAACTTTAAGCAAGTTACTAAACTCTTAAGACTTGAGTTTCCCATCTTTAAAATGGGAGGACTTTTAATTTGTACTGCCAAGTTGCCCTCCAGAAAAGTCATATCAATTTACCAGCATATATAAAATTGTTTGTTTTCTCACAATCTTGACATCACTGGATATTATACTATTTTTAAAATCTTCATCAATTTGATGAGTAACAATATGGCATCTCTTTTTAAAAACTCTGATGGTGTGTGGTGTGTCATTTTAATTTGTATTTCTTTGATCACTTTTTTTTTTTTTTTCCTGGCCGGTACAGAGATCGGCCCAGACCTTGGTGTTATCAGCACCATGCCCTAAGCAATTGTGCTAACTGGCCTGATTACCCATTTGTTACTTAGACTTTATCAATTACTTGTCTATGTACTTTGTTCATTTTTCTATTGTGGTATTTGTCCCTAAGGCTTGCAAAATTCATCATATAGTAACCATCTTTTTTCCACTACAGATGTTGGAAATATTTTCATCCAGGCAGTCATTTACATTTTAAATTTGAAACAGTTTGATTTTTAAAACTCCTAAATTAGAAAAAACGATTACAACAGACAACATTTAAGAAGACTCTGCAAATCTACAAATGATCAGTCTGAAAGTACACAGCACAGGACCCAGAAAATAGTAAGGGCTAAATAAATATTAGCTTTAATATTAATAATGATGAAAATAATAATTAAATGAGTCGTTCAACAAAACTCATCCAGCTATCTTGTCACTTATCCCCTTTTGTGTTCTTTAGGTAACAGTTAAACTTTGCCCTTTAAAATGTTCTTGTAGGGTTTGGATCCCTGTACTGGCCGCCAAAAAAAATTAAATATAAATAAATAAATAAAATGTTCTTGTAAGTGAGGAGAAAGGGGATT